AAAAAAAAAGAAAGACTCTGAGGAAAACCCTATCTTGCAAATCCATAGCAAGCGTTTCAATGCCAAATAGGTTTTAAACACCAGGCACCAGTCAGCATTTCCTTCAATTGTGTTGAAAGGGTTCTGATTACCAATTCCATGTCTGGCATAAAAGGTTGGGAACTATCATCCCTCTTTAGAAAGATATGTATTCTAGACTAGATCTGAGGTCAAGAATAGAAAAAGCAAGGAATTTTCCCATGTAGTTCCCTCCTTCCTGTTCCTTCTCTCCTTCCATTCCCTTCTCTGCTGGCCCTCTCTTTTATTCTTGCCAGTTTTATCCCACTCCATTTATTTTAGATGACCAAAGCCATTTAATCCTAAATATCTAACTCTTTAAAATACCCATCATTCTCTCTTATATACTAATAATTTGTCACAAAGGTAAACTTTCCATGCCATGTTAATGTTTGTAAAATGACTGATCAACCAATTGGCCCATTCACTCAAAACAGAAACTCGGGAGCCTGAAACATGTGCCTTCACCTTTTCATTCATGCGTAAGTGGCTATAAACTCCCATTTATTCAACCCCCTGACTTACTCTCCCATCTTCACTGCTGTAATCCATATCACTGTTGCTATTCAGGACATGATAGTATAATAAAACTGTTATTGGGGACCAGGAGGATAGAAGATGGCTCAGCTGGATAAAGATAGTACGAAGCCTGATGACCTGAGTTCATGCTAGTTCATGCCTGATGAACAGTTGCATGCTAGGAAGAGAGAACTGACTCCTGAAAATATTTTTCTGATACCTGCATGCCCGCTCTATTTCTAAGCTTCATTTAATGCTATAAGAACTGTAAAGTTGTCACAGGGTGGCTTAGAGAGATAAGTGGCTTGCCCAAGGTCACAAATTAATTACCCATAGAAATGTACAAAATTATGAAAAAAACCGGTCTATTAATTGTTCACATTTCTAATGAATTTCTTGTAGCATACAGAACAATAGGCTTCACCATGACACTTTTCTACAGGTATGACATCATTTATAATCTTCTTGGAAATATTCTGAAGCCTGGCTTCTGGCTTTGCTAGCTGGTATTCCTGTTGACTTTGGACAAGTTACTTTTCAGTCAGTTCCTCACATGTAAAGCAAGGATATGTATTTTGAGCTATTTTCTATGGTTACAGGGTTAACTAAATATATGTATCTATAAGTGGACCTGGCAGTTCTAAGAATATATTAAGTATTATTTCTTTAAAACATCTTGGCAGCAAAACTTCTGCACAATAAAATTATGGCTTAAGGCTTTTTGTTTGTTTTTCTGGTAAAAGCTCATGATGATCCAGAGGTAACCAACTCATTAAAACAAGACTATGACTTAACTAAAGTGTCCTATTTCAGTGACCAGATTTGGAGATTCACTTCAATCCAATTAAAATGTTCTCAATGTCATTAAAAAACATCAGTGTATAAATAGTTTTTTGTTCATTTGAATGGAGAATAGATATAGATGGTCACTATTCTCCACACCGGATACCCTAGTCTTACATTTTTGATAATACTCCCTTGTTTATTGGTTTGAGTTATAAAATAACTTATGATTTCTGAATTTTTAGATCAACATAAAACACTTTTATTCAAGAAATCTGTTTCTACAAAAAATACTCTTTTTAGTATGCACAATTCTGAAAAAAAAATTTATTTTAAATAGGTATTAGATGATGATTCTCCAGAGATATATAAAACAGTTTCTCAAGAATCTTTGATGCCTGGAAAACTGGAGATTAATTTTGAAGAATTATTAAGACAAAAAATGGAAGAAGAAAGACGACGAACGGAGGAGGAACGGAGGCATAAACTAGAAATGGAGAAACAGGGATTTGAGCAACTGAGACAAGAAATGGGAGAGGTGAGGTGGAAGAATATTCACTTAGAGATCTAATTGTTTCCCTTATATTTTTCTATTGTGACCTTTATGTATTATTAACCACATAAGGATATCTGACATACTCTTATGATACACACATACATACACACACATACACATACATACACACACACACACACACACACACACACACACACACACACACACACACACACATACACTTATGGTATATGGTAGAATGTTGCCTGAAACAAAACTGAAAACTCACTTAAAATATTGAGATTTTAGTTATTGATTTATTGTAACTAAATTGTCTGTTTCTCCTGTGTGAACCTTGTAGGTAAGTGTCCTGATACAATGTCAAAAAGATAGTATGCCAAAGAAAAGTTTTTTTGCGTTGTTTTGCTTTTTGAGACAGGATTTGTGTAGCTTTGGCTCTCCAGGAACTTGCCCTGTAGACCAGGCTGGCCTGGAACTCAGAAATCCACCTTGGGAGCCTATCTGGCTGCCAGAGTTGTACAGGGTTTCCTTTATGTGAAAGGTTGGAAGTTCTTAAGTTTTTTCTTATTTAAAACTTATTTTATGCGTATTGGTGTTTTGACTGCATGTGTGTGTGGCACCACATGCAAGCAGTGCCAGCAGGCCAGAAGAGGGTGTCAGATCTCTTGGAGCTGGAGCTAAAGGTTGTAAGCCTCCATTGTGAGTATTAGGTATTGAACCCAGATCCTCTAGAAGACTAGCCAGTGTTCTTTACCACTAAGCCCTCTCTCCAAACCCAGAAATAAAACTCTTAAAACATAGTATGTATAGGATTCTGTTTGACCTGTGGCTTCCAGGCATCTGGTTGTCTTGGAACATACTTCCCCACACACACAGCTGGAGAGGGCAATCTATTGTAATTTGCTGATATTCAACATACAGAAATTTTAATCTTTTAAAGGAAGAAGAAGAAAATGAAAGTTTTGGATTGAGTAGAGAATACGAAGAATTAATCAAATTAAAAAGAAGTGGTTCTATTCAAGCTAAAAGTCTAAAAAGCAAGTTTGAAAAAATTGGACAGTTGTCTGAAAAAGAAATACAGAAAAAGATAGAAGAAGAACGAGCAAAGAGGAGAGCAATTGACCTTGAAATTAAAGAGCGAGAAGCAGAAAACTTCCACGAGGTACATTATTGTTTTATTTGTTATAACCTTGATCGTAAGTCTTAGTATTTACAGTTCCTTATTGGTATATATGCAATAATATGGAAAGTAAATAGCAAAAGACCAGTTAGCTCAAATTGCACTTAAGAGTCCAAAAGGATGAGGAGGGAGGAATGGAAAGGGTGAAAAAGGGAGAGAAAAAGGTGGAATGGTAGCAAATAAAATTTAGAAATAATCAAAGCAGGGTGACAGGCAAGTTGTTTTGGTTGACACACAAGGGTCTGACTAAAAACAACCTATTGTGCGGTATGCCATCCATCTATTGCTGTGTAATTCCATGGATATAGTATACTCAAGTTTTGTAGGGGTCTGAGGCATTTCAGCCTAATGGAAGTTACAGCACTGTCCTAGCCTCTTCTGATGCTACCTGGCCACCTTTGGGGTTTATGCAGAAAATCCTTCCACAATGCCTTGTGATCCAAGCCATAGATGGCTCAACCTTAGCATTCTAGACGGCTGATGCTTTGCTCCTTACCCCATGTGTCCTGCCTTTCTACACCATTCCAGACTCCATGCTTTAACTAGGCAGGCTGTATCCTCAATACCTGCTTTTGTTTCTGAAATGCTTTCTGCAGGGAATGTTTTACCTATTATCCTGTGGAAATAACGTTCAGCCTTTAGGGTCAAAGGTTCTCTTCTTGTTTGTAAAGTATTCTCGAATTAAGAAATGTTGCAGTAAGAAAATTCCAGAATGAGAGACAATGGAAGTTAACAAAGATTGTACTAACTTATTTGAGGGACTAGAAAAAAGATCCCAAGGACTCTATAATGGCATAACTCAACTAAGTAGGTTATGAAGTTGTCAAAGTACTTTGTGGCTTGCTGAAAGCACTTCACCTTACAGGAACTGTAATCAGCAAAAATGACGTTATAATAGAAATCTTAAATACTGCTACTAAAGAATTCTAGGATCATGATGGAGGAAGTGGAAAACAGTCATAAAGGCAGGACCAAGAGCTAGGTAACAGGTAAACCCTCAAGTCTTGATTCTCCTGCTTCCATCTCCTGAGCACTGGGATTACAGGAATGCACCACTAGCTTGAAAGTTTTCTTCTAGATGGTTATTGAGGACCTCACTGTTGTGCCACCATCACCAGGGAAACCAGCTGATTTATCAGGTCTGGTGAGGTATTAAAATTGTGTTCATCAAGGTAAAAGGAGTGTGACACTGGTTCTGAGCTTAGTAAGATGCAAGCATGTGTATGTTGTAAAATTATGGGTAACCGTGGGAATGGTTATGATTGGAGAACACTAATATTCACTGGCCATGTGGTACAAAACAAAGTAAGAGACCATGTCTTAAACAAAATCTCAGTCTACCAAGCAGTTGCTCTTTTGTTAGCCATTATAAAATCAGTAAGAATAAAACCGGTATGTTTGATGCTTTACCACTTCTGGGTCTTAGATGTCAGATTAGGGTGTTATCAATTGTTTCTACTGAAGGATGTATAAGTCTATTCTATCCACCTTGGATTAAAGGCCATTAAGGGCCTTTAAGAACTTTAGCTAACTTCCAGTGATGGACTTCCCCTCCAATACTCCCCCATCCCCACATCTTGTTCTCCTGTTGAGAACTATCAATGTTTGTAGGGGAGTGGTAGTGCACTCCTTTCATCCAAAGGCAGATTTATGCTCTTAATGTTCGAGTTCCAGGCTAGCCAGTGAGAACTTATCTTGGAGTGGGGGTTACTAATTGTCTTCAAAACTAGTATTCCAGACTTCTTTTCGAGGTTGAATTCACCCATTGTAACCTTTGATTAAAGAATCCAATGTCACCGGGCGGTGGTGGCGCACGCCTTTAATCCCAGCACTCGGGAGGCAGAGCCAGGTGGATCTCTGAGTTCAAGGCCAGCCTGGGCTACCAAGTGAGTTCCAGGAAAGGCGCAAAGCTACACAGAGAAACCCTGTCATGAAAAACAAAACAAAACAAAACAAAAAGAATCCAATGTCAAGGTGGGTGGTGGTGGTGCACACCTTTAATCCCAGCACTAGGCAAGTGGATCTCGAGTTCTAGGTCAACCTGTCTATAGAGGGAGTTCCAGAACAGCCAAGGTTACAGAAAAACCCTGTGGGGATAGGGGGAATTAAACATCCTCTCTTATAGCTTTATATCACCTATTTGGCTAACCAATTAAATGCCTTATAGTATTTGTCTTCTGTATCCCAAGATGGCATCAAAAGATACCACCTTCTCATCTCCACTTTCATGAAGCCTTAGGCCACCACATGCAGGCATAAAGAAAAGGATCACATTTGAGGATTCATGCATGCTAGACACTCATTCTGCCAATGGAGCTACACTCTCAGCCTCTTACTTGGTCTTCTAATGTCTTACTGTATCAAGAGAACAGTTGCTTTAACATCCTGGTTATCAGTGCTCTGTGACACTCATTTAAAACATAACTTTCTTAGTAGGTTCCTTTCCCAGAACACTAGCCTACTTTCCCTAAGGTTCTAGAAAAGATAAACTGATGTTTAACTGTTTGACATTCTGTTAAGTCAAGAACAATTCTTCTGCCTAGTCAAACCGCATTTTCTAAATGCAGTTTTGAGGAAGCAATGGGAAGTAATGAACTTGCACAAAGTTTTGTGCTAAGTTGTAGAAAGGAAATTAAATATCCTATTAGGATTCAGTTAAAACAGTAGTTAATATACTGGCTTAAGTATTTTCACATATTTTGCAAGATCTGTGATACTGAAAGCAAACCACTATCAAAGCACTAGATCTTATGCAGCTCAGGCTGGCCTTGACTGTTCTCACTTCCACTTTGGTGGTGCTAGGATCATGCTATGGGCCCTGTGCATATTAGGTAGGTGTGTTACCAGCCCCAGAACACAATCAGTTATCACTGGTAACTAGTCAACATCTGAGGGCAAACAAACAGCACAAAAATAATGCACCTGTAGGCTATCAAGTTATCTTATGTTCTGGGATTTCCCTAAATATAATTCAAGTATGATCTGCGAAACCAAGAAACTTCCAAACCAATGAAAGCATGTACATGTCCATGAGCCAAGATTTCCTTATAGAAGTAATTAATCTATAGCTCATTTCTCAATTTCCCTTTAGTTGGGTATTTTACAACCACCACCCCCTACCACAATTCCCCACAGTACTATGATAACAGTGAATTTCTTCAGAGACCAATGAAGGCTTTAATTTATGGCTGTGGATGTAGCTCAGTTGGCAGTATGTGTGCAGTATTCAGGAAGCCCTGGCTTCAGCCCTTAGCATAACATAAACCGGAGGTCTCACATGCTGAAACGGCTTGGAGGTTAAATGAACCCACTTACTCCTCTTTTCATAGAACTGAGTCTGTTTTCAGGGTACCCACAGAACAGCTCACTATCATCTGTAACTGTTAACTCCAGTTCCATTGAATGACACCCTTTTCTGGCGTCCACATACAGTGCTGCAGGCAAACACTCCTACACACAAACTGATTAAAAAAGTTAACAAAACCAAAAAGAAAAGCCTTAAAGGTAACCTTTGGAACCAGTCTGTTTGATACCATCTTATCAAAGATTACACTACACCCACAACTTTTGATAGGTAGCCCTGCCCTTTTCTTTTCCTGGCTTCCAAAGTTCACCTCTAAACAGATGACTCACCTTAGTCACACTTCCAACATATGCCAGATGCTTCTCCATTTCCTTGACATATAGTTTACATAAATTCACTTCTAAAATCCCCAGAAGCAACGGAGTATTTTAGTTCTTATGGAATAGGGTGAAGAAATACTTAAGAACTTGTATTTTAAAGTTGCCATTGTATAGGATACTCTGTGAAGAGGTGTGTGTACATAAAAATGCAAAATAACACTTTTACTATTAGCACTATTAAATGAAGTACTGAGTGAGCTGGGCACAACAGGCCAGGAGTCCAGTAAGATGCTGACCTTTGAAGTGGAACTAAAGTATTTTAAATTGTTTTTTTTTTTTTTTTTGGTTTTTGAGACAGGGTTTCTCTGTGTAGCTTTGCGCCTTTCCTGGAGCTCACTTGGTAGCCCAGGCTGGCCTCGAACTCACAGAGATCCACCTGGCTCTGCCTCCCGAGTGCTGGGATTAAAGGCGTGCGCCACCAACGCCCGGCTTATAAATTGTTTTACAACTACTAACCCACTTTCCCTAAATGCCTAAACGGCTACAGTATCAAAGCAAATTAAACATTAATATTTTGTCTCTAAACATTAACGCATTAAGTTCTCAGCAAGCAACTTTTATTTTTTTTTTTAAGGAAGATGATGTTGATGTAAAGCCTGCAAAAAAAAGTGAATCCCCCTTTACTCATAAAGTGAACATGAAAGCCAGATTTGAACAAATGGCTAAGGCAAGAAAAGAGGAAGAACAACGGAGAATAGAAGAACAGAAGTTACTACGAATGCAGTTTGAACAGAAAGAAATTGATGCAGCACTACAGAAGGTATGCATCTACATTAACAGAGAGGGAGTTCTAAACCCATTTGCAAGCAATTAAATTGTCTTCATAGTTTTCAAGCCATTGGAATGGTTTAGAAAAATAATGAAACCCAGGGCACCATGCATGCTAGCTAAATGCTCTAGCAATGAGCAGTATCCTAATCTTTTTTATCGTCAAACTTCTATTACTAAAAATAATGACAACTTGATAAATGCACTTATTTTAATATAGAAAAGAGAAGATGAGGAAGAAGAAGAAGGTAGCATCATTAATGGCTCCACTACTGAAGATGAAGAGCAAACAAGATCAGGAGCTCCATGGTTCAAAAAGCCTCTAAGAAATACCTCAGTTGTAGACAGTGAGCCAGTCAGATTCACTGTTAAAGTAACAGGAGAACCCAAACCAGAAATCACATGGTGGTTTGAAGGAGAAATGCTGCAGGACGGAGAAGACTACCAGTACATTGAAAGAGGCGAAACTTACTGCCTCTATTTACCAGAAACTTTCCCAGAAGATGGAGGAGAATATATGTGTAAAGCAGTCAACAATAAAGGCTCTGCAGCAAGTACCTGCATTCTTACCATTGAAAGTAAGAATTAATTGGCTTTTGACCCTTTCTTTCATTAAGGAAATAAATAGCAAAGAAAAATATCATTCTTCTTCTCTTTTTTTTTAGTGGATGACTACTAGGCTTCCTTCTCTTCTTGGAACTCACTCTCTCAACTCTCTTGCTACATCTCTGTGGAGGGGCCATGAGGAGACCAGAGGTGCCACTCTGTTGACTAAATACCCTTCCCCAAATCTTCAAAATAGGAGCTCATCCAAAGACTGCCTTTTCTAATGCACATCAGGTTACCATGTTGTGCCCAGTCAAAATGTAGTTGACAGGAAGGGAAATGTACTTATTATGTGAGAATCTAAAACAAAAGCTTTGTATTTTCCATATTTATAGCAATTATGCTTCAAGTATACATTGTATGCATGAAAGAATTTAAGAGTTTTTACATCTAAAATTAGCCAGAGAGGACAATGAAATTGGAACTGATCAGTCTTCCTCTGTAGCATGTAATTGCTGTGGATTCCAAGTTTTTATGAAGCAGATATACTTACAAAAGGAGTAGCATTCTTTTCATGAGAAAGGTGGAGCATTGAAAAGAAAAAAAAAACCAAGTGGGATATTTTTTATAAACTAAACTAAATTTGATAGAAACCAAAGCTTACAGTGTTCCAAGATGGCAGTTATTTAACACATGCATTTCAAATGTGTAACGACCACACTTAAGTTTATGCTGTTACCCGCCTGAACAAATTATACTTTAATGAGAAAATACTAGTATTCCATGCAAGAACAAATGTTTTTAACATCACTGAAGGTTTCAAGACCTAGGAGGATTAGATTCAGAAAAAAAAATGATTCATTTTAAAATTCTTGCTTTAAAAATAAGTCTGTAAATGTCTGGAGTGACAGTGCATGCCATTAATCCCAAAACTTGGGAGAAAAAGGCAGGTGGATCTCTATGAGTTCAAGGTCAGCCTGATCTACATAGTGAGTTCCAGGACAGTCAGGACTACATAGTGAAACTGTCTCAAAACAACAAAGTCTGTAAATAATTATAACTATAAACGTTCTATTATTTGGTTGTTTTATATTTATATTCAGTTTCCTGGAAAACAATTTTATTTTACATTGTGAAACCATAATAAAGTTACCTGTGCATTAAAAGGTCTTTTTCCTTCTTTGAAAAGCTGTGCAAGAGTTATCTACTCTTTTAGGTTTAAAGAACTTCTTATCATTACTTAATTCTTTTTAATTAAAGGCAAGCCAACCACCAGTACTTTTCTCACAGTAAATCTTTAATGACAGGAATAAAGGAGAAAAAATTTTAACTCAGTAATCATATCTAAGACACAAAAAGACAAAAGCAGTCTCAGAGTAGTCATCACTGTACATTTATTTTTTTAAATTAAGGAAACCATGAAGAATACAAAATTACAATATCACGTGCCCTTTTACATACAATGTCATTAAAGCAAAACTCTAAACCAGTTTGTAAAGTATTCAATTTACCTCAAGTCCAAGCTGCATCTCCCTAAGACACTGTTCCCATCACAGTAGCCATTTTAAGCCAATCTTCTTTTAACACACGGGTAGTTTCTGTAGAGAACACTTTTCTCAGGACGAAAATGCATCGAGCATGCATAAGAAAATATATATATATGTATATATTTGCAAATACATTAAAGAGTTTCTTTAGGGTATCACTGAAGAAAATAAAACCCTGGGTTTTGCTTCTTTAAAGTACCAATTAAAAATTCCTCAACTAAAGCCAACTGACTAATTAAAAAAAAAAAAAAAGGTTAATTTTGGTCAAATTATCTCTAAGTATTATGAGAATGCATTTTAAGCCAGGCAGAATTTGAAGAAATAAAAATGAGACATCTCCAGCGATCAGTTAATTCTACATCAATATTCTAGACAACATACAACTACTTTCAGGAAGAACTGGTTGTATTGGCAAAGCATTCAAGTGAATGAAAACTTCCCTCTGAGAGCCCTCACTACGCCTATCTCAACCCACTTTAATGAATTAACTACCAGGATATTTGTTTAAGAATACACTTTACAACTAGTATCAAATCACTAGTTTAATATTAAAAGGATTCTCATTACTAAAAAACAAGCACACGCATTTCTGAAACAAACATCAAAGAAAGCAAAGAATTCTAAGTTACCACTACACTAACATGTATGTCATTAAAAAAAACCTGTAAACTTGTTTAAGTATTAAATGAGTTTAATTTCAATCTAAACCATTCAATTTTTCTACCACCCTTAAAATCTGCTGGATTCAATCAACTGGCTCACCTGTTCTGCTTTCCAGTTACTTCAAGGTTAAGATTGGTGTTATTTAAAATGTTAAAGTACCAGTGAAGGTTCATGGTAATGAATTAAAATTTCTCACAAGATAGAAACAATCCCCAGTATCTATAATCATTCATCCAGATTTCCAAACCCAAACTACAACTAACCAAAACTTCACAGGCTCTAAATCTGCTTTGAAAATACTGACCCAATCTCTCTCTCTCTCTCTCTCTCTCTCTCTCTCTCTCTCTCTCTCTCTCTCTCACACACACACACACACACACACACACACACACACACACACACCACCCACCAAACACACAACACACACAGTGTGTGTGTGCAATAACTATATAAATTCAAACTTAACAGTTCATGGAACATTTAAGTGAATAGCACTTTAAAATGAAAAGTGATCAAGAGCAGGTACATTACACCCTATACCATATTATGTATGGGAATACATTTCATACTTCTCAATTATGATTTGCCAATTTTACCTTCTACATTGAGCCCTTCTATGGTCCATGCTCATCGGCTCACCAATGGCATACACTCAAAGGATTCCTCTTTATGGGTAACTATCTCAGGACCTGATTTTATGAGCTATGATTTGGTGCTTGCAGCATCTTCAGCACTGTGTGTGAAAATGAAGGCAGTATTTTTGAATATTTTTCTTTGTTGTAAAGATAAGCAGGAGTTTTTAATAGGATCAGCACATTTTAGAAACTGAATAAAAACAAAACTGATATAGTGCTGCTTTAAGACAGTCATCTTAAGTCAAAATATGTACTAGTTAAACATCATTCCTAAGAACACAAACATTTTAACTGGCAAAAAGTAAATGCAGCGTCAGTTATATTAAAATATAGTAAATCAGAAACTGGTTATGCAGACTATGAAAGGTTATTTGTTACACAGTTAACATTTCACTGATGCACATGCCTTTTTTCAAAACTTACTGCCAGTATTCCTTATTCTTCCTTATCAGCAAACAAGACATAAAAACAGAACTGTCTAGGAAACTAACCCACAATTTTCTTACTGAATTACTATACTTTAAAGCAGTAATAATAAAGGAGGAAAAATAAAACAAAAACCCCATAGGTTTGGATGACAAAATGTCCTGTCAGTTACACAAACAGGCTGTGAAGGCTGTTGAAATTTCTGACCAAATGATTTTCTAAGTCTTTTAACTATTAAACTGTTCTTACTGCAACACTTCTATAACTTGGGGGAGGGGGGCACAAAAAGATTTGGATTTTTTCAGTTATAGCAGCAATCTACTCATTTTATTTTAATGAAAAAATTAAAATAAAAACCATTACCCAAAATTATAAACAGCTGCTTGAACAACTTAACAGACTTTCCACTAGAATGGTAGCATAAATAACAAAATACATTTGGGGAAGCAGTAGCAGATTGCTTTTGAGTACACAACCACAAAAAACCTCACAGGGACAACATTAATGTACTGATATATTTATATATATGTCCTTAGGTTGTGCTTACCTGTTGCTTTTTGCAGCAGAACCTAAGGTGGAAGGTCTGGGAAGGCACTGTGAAGTATAAATAATTGCACTGTTTGCAATTAATAAAGATTTTAAACTTTAAACGAATCAAAATCAACAGCCTCCAATTTGTGAATTATGATACTGAATCCAACTATTTCCTTCAGTTTAATTACTAAATGCACCACTTTCCTAGGTCATCTATGCAACAACATCATGCAAAATACTGAAATTGTTCATGTCAGTACCCTACACTTAAGATAACTCCTTAACTATTAAACTTCAGACTAGACTATGTATCCATATCTAAATAAGGGCAAGGGAAGTCACTCTACGTTACATAAAACAATCAAACATTTCAAAACATCCACAATGAGCTGTACTGTTTTCTGTCCTATTATCTCAACGTTTTTGTCTTCATACTTCTTCCTTTAAAGTATATGCAAAACAAACGGTGCTCCCCACAGATGACAGAACTGACATATTTATAAAAAGGTGTTAAGTGCTACATTGCTTATAATTTGTAATCTGAAAAACACTTCTGTCTTACACATTTCAAGTTTTTCATATCACTATAAAAGATGCATTATTTCACACTGAAAATCGGCATTTTAGGAGCACCGATAGATAATACTATTCAACTTTGTTAATCATCAAATTTCTTTAGCTATTAGCTAAAGCGTATCAAAAATACTTACCCATTAAGCTCACTTTAAAAAAAAATACAGAACTATGTATTATTCTGTTAAAAGGCAGTTATGTTTTCCCATGATATCAGCACTGTATTCCAACATAATATTCACACAAAATATAGCAATTGCATTATGTGGAACATCGACAAAAAGATACTGTTGCAGTTCATCAATTTGTCATTCTGATGTACTTACAGTGCAATGCTCCTTGAAGGAACACAATCAAGGATGATACACAGCACAGTCCTCCTCACCCCTACAGAGCTAGTTCTATACTGGCTGGATCAAACCTGCACTTCAACAGACAATGGCAAGACAGACTGTATTTGCATGTAGTCTAATATATTAATATGCAAAGAGCCAACAAATATGCAGAGTAAAACAATGGTTTTCAACAAAATATCAGAACTTCAGCATGAATGTTAGAGTAATAAAATGATTCAAGTACATAAAAAACTATTTTGATTCAATGACTGGACTTGTGCAATTACAAGACAAAGCTTATCTATACTGCAAAAAGAAAAAAGCTTGAACGTTTTCATACCCCAAATGTTTCAATGGCAGATACAAGGTAGCTCTACTTTTGCACACTATTTACTTTTCTACCCTAAATTTAGAAAGAAACACACTATTATATACATTGAAAGAGTTGCTTTACATGAAAAAACAAAAAGCTTCTTAGAAACTACTCAAATCACTGTCTGAAAACTGTTCAAAATTAGTTATGCTGAAACAGTCTTGGAAATAAGTGAAGAACAGAAAGGTTAACTGTTGTAGCAGCAGTACAGGTCTGAAACAGTGCTCATATATAAAAGGAAATTTCACTGTTAATGCAATGGAAGTATACTAAAGATCATTGTATACACATGCAGTTTTTAATCAAACAGAAGGGAAAAAAATGAAGATATCAGGATTACTTGTGCTGAAATAGCCAAATACAACAGAAAAGATCCTCCAATCTACCACTATACTGCAAGGGGGAAAAACATGCCAGTGTTTAAAAACTCAGTAATTCACGGGGAAAGCTTATATATTTGTGTATATGTATCTTAATTTATCACTGCTAAGAAATTATGAATCCTTTACCCACATATCCAACTTACCGACACAGGAGGTTTCATATCATTTATTGTAAAGCACAAAACAGGCATTTTAAAAGTGAAAGTATACATTGAAAAAGTACATTTATATCACAAAGCATTGACCACATAATAGTTGCAAATACATTTGCTGGAATGTGTACATCTACACTAAAGACTAAAAACAAACCAATTTTCATTTCTACACAGAAATATTAACCTCCTATCAGTAGTGATAGATATTTTGTACATTTTCCAAATTAAAAAAAAAAAAGGAGGGGAAAACACTACTTTAAACCAAAACCAAAATTAAGATCTTCATCAAGTCGTCTGCATCCATATATTTAACAAAGGTTTTTTTCCCCCACACAATGAAGCAAATACTGTATTGTCCACTTCTTATTATTGGCCCTGTGCAGAAGAGATACATAAGAGATACACAAAAAGTTAAAGAAAATCCTTTAAATGGAGCTAATTCAGGAGTGAATCCTTTAAGAAAGAAAAACTGGTTAATATAAATGATGGTGGCTTCTTGCATGATTTGCAAATCCCTGGGGGAAGAAAATTTATTTTTAAAATCAAAGGCATTATAAGAATAGCATTCAGATGCCAGAAAGCATTATTAAAAAACCAAATCCCCAAACACACAATATCGCAGTTATACTTTACCAAATAAAAAGCAAAACATTCCCAGACAAACATGCAGAAAACATGGTTGGAGTGAAAAAAACAAAAACGAAACACAAAAAACACCAAACAACCAAAAACCAATTAGCAAGTGTATTATACCTGAGGTGCTGGAGGATGCTGCGGCATTCCTTGTGGACTTGTCTGGGCATAGTATGCTGCTTGTTGTCTATAGTATTCAGCCCAGGCGGCACTATAATCTGGCTGACCACCTGGTGGGGCCCCAGTAGGAGCAGGAACTGCTTGACCTTCAGGAAAACAGAGGAACTTTATTGCTCAACTATAATTCAAAATCTCATAGAATCTCTTGTCTAGTAAAGATAATACCTTGCTTCTTGTAATATTCCTCCCAAGCCTTGTGTCTGCCCATGTTGACCTAAAAAAACCCCCTGAATTTTAATACAAATTTCCATCCACTGTCTGTATAGCTTATAACGACAGGCATAGAGGTTCTTGTTTATCTTAAGTCAGGGTTTCACCTATGCAGCACAGGCTGGCTCAGAACTTGTAATCCTCTTGCCAACTTCCCAAGTGCCGGGATTACATGTGTGTATCACTGCCCCTTCAGTTACTGTTTATCTTAAGTATGCCTTAAAGAGAGAGGGAGGGAAGATGAGAAAAAAGTGCAGCACACAAAGAAAAAAATGCTATTTTTCATCTTGATCACAAATTTCAGCCTTTTAGTTCACCACCCTATCCATAAAGACAAAACAATCCAAATTCACATAGCTTTAAACAAAGGTGAAGATTCAGACATACTTTTTGACAAGGAAGGACTGTTCTTTTGTTCAATTGGTCTATGAAGCCTTGGCTGTCCTGAACTCAGAGATCTGTCTGCCTCTGCCTTTCCAGTGCTGGGACTAAAGGAGCGTGACACCAACATGGGGGTTTTGTTCTGTTTGTTTGAAACTGAGACAGGGTCTCACTATGCAGTCTGTCTGGCCTCATCTTCAGAGATGTACTTGCCTCTGCCTCCTGAGCTTGAACCACCATACCTGGCTTTTATCCATTTTGGTCATCAGTTATACTACTGGTCTAAACTACAATAAAGAAATACTGATATTTATAAATATTTAATATTTTATAAAGATATTTATAGAACAAACACATATGCCGCAACACAAAAGATCTATTATGTTCAGATCAAAGTACAGTTTTGCTAAAAATATGACAGCTGACATAGAGAACAAGATCAATGAAACATGTAAAACTCAGCTTCCAAGCGTAGTTTTGTTTCTGAGAAGAGTGACCTTTTTGAGTTATCAAATGACAAATATAATCATCAAATCATAGGAATGCTGGACAGATTCTGTAAACAAAAACAAGCTAATTGCAGAAGACAGTTTCTTGATAGGGACATTACAACAGTTAAGTACAGAGGGTATTATTCAATATGTTTAAAACAAACTTACTTTTTAATGGCTCAGGCATAAAATATAAATGAAATACATTTGGCTAAACACACTGGCCAAACCTGTGACTGGTGTATAATTTCCCAATTTTCTGAAATGGCCAAAGAAAGCAAAAACTAAAGAAAGAACTCGTGCTATACGTATGTGGCTATATGAACACAGAGCTCTAAGAGAAGACAAAGGGACACCTTTTGCATTTCATAGCTTCAGAAAGCAGCCTCACACTGTAAAACTGCTCACAGAATAAAGCCTAGCTATGTGAATAAAAACTGAGATCTATGACTCAAACTTAGAATGGCGTTGGGGCTTGTTTGGGCAATGTAAAAACATTTCCAGAATTACAAAAATTCTTATTTTCACTTTTCATAAATAACTTCTCAGAGTTTAACATTTAGACCTCATAAGGAGATAGAATTCAAAAGCATACAATATCCTTTGCATCAGCCCATCCCCATGTCCCACCCTTTAGTCTCTCTACCTGTTTGGTCTATGTTTTAAAAGGACACTACCTATCATTTACATGTAGCTCAATAGAAAGTTTACTATTTCTAGAATAGAATAGCGTAAGAGCCATCCTTATTAAACAGATCACCAATGCTCAATTATCTCTCGACAGATCTGCATTTGTTCTACAGCTTCAAGTTATTAGATGCCTTCAGAATCCACCATCAGTCCTTAACAGTGTAAGGGTTTTTTTTTTAAAAAAATAGTTTTGTATATGGTTTATGTGTGTTCGGGCACACAAGCCACGCATGTGTATGTAGATGTCAGAAATTATAAGTATATGCCTTCCTCAGTATTAGGTCAGTCTTTTGCACAAGTGTTTTCACCCACGGAGCCATCTCGATGTCCTACAAGGGCTCTTAAAAACATTACCCAAAATGGCTTCACTTACTCTTCTCTGAACAGGAATTACCTTACCTTTAACTCTGATGTATAATTCTTTACTGAATACAGAAGTTCTTCTACCTGCAACCTCTACCACTCTATAGTCTGCTCTTCCTCATGACTTAAAACATCTTTTCCTTCAAACTAGATTATCATCTATAAGAATCTTTGGAGTTGCCAGGCAGTGGTGGTGCACACCTTTAATCCCAGCACTCGGGAGCCAGAGGCAGGCGGATCTCTGTGAGTTTAAGGCCAGCCTGGTCTGCAAGGTACAAGGCAAGTTCCCAGACTTACACAGAGAAACCCTGGGGGGAGAGGAGTTGTGATAGAAGTTTTCAAAGTGTTATTCTCAGGAAATTCAGATGTTTTAGTAGAGGTTTGCTACTGAGATGATGACAAATTTATAGTTTATTAAGTGTTTTTTGCTTTGAAGAGTAAAAGGTAGAATGAGGGTTCCAAATCTATGGGAATAAATTGGGCATATTGGCACAAGCTGAGAAAGGAGTATCCGAGTCCAAAATCCTCTCTGCTACACAATAGCTTCAATTGCATCCACAGCCTGAGTTACGTGAGCTTTTATCACAAAAAAACAACAACAGCTCTGCTTGCTTATTAGTTTGTGAAGAAGGGACTTGGGAACAAGAACTACACTCAAGGAACCAGGATATCTTGTCAGGCTACTTGGGAAAGTAAGAAAAATGGCTTTGGAGATAAAAATTCACACACCTACACCACTGACTGAACCCAGAGCCTGTGTATGCTAGCCAAGCACGCTAACTAAACTAGACCATGAGCTTTCAAGATTCTTTTCTCCCCAATTTTCTTCTCCCTTCTTCTATTTCAAACACACAAAGACTGAACTTAAAGCTGGTCAGCAAGCCCCTTGGGGACACACTTCCAACGGAGGCTACCAGGACATGCAACTTGCCATGTTTGGTTTTAAGATGTAGTGGGGATTTGAACCCAGGTCCTTAAGCACTCTTATTACTCATCTACTCCTCAGCCCCTAAACTGAACTTTTTGCTTTAAGGTCTCTTATCTGTGATTATCCTAAAAAGATATTGAGGACAATACATTCAAAAGAGATTATAGTAAACATGTGTAAAAAGAACTTTTATAGGGAAAATTAGTTTACCTAACTATCATACAATTAAAAGTATTATTTAGTACGTATCTAAATTACCTAAGATAGTGTCTTTAAAGAATTATGTAACAGAAAATTGCTGTCTGTTTTGTCTGTAACATTAAGGTTCCTCCTGCTAATTATTACAGAACAAATGAAGAAAACAGGCCCCCAAAGTCATTACTAAAAGAGTTACTTTGTGTGTGTGAAGTACTACAAAGTAAAACACTAAATCCAAAGTGAGTTAAAATATCTATGTTCAATAAAAGCTACAATTAACATTTTAAGCATACAGAATGACAAATACCTAAACAAAACTTATGTCATGTTAAACAAACAACAGGACATAACTGAGCAGAGACGCCAAACTCATTCCACCCCGACTATCTACGTCAGTTAGCAGGCCTGGGTTTTACCAAATCAATACATAGATACATCTGGTATATTACACATGGTGAAAATACAAATTGGAGTTAATGTACTTTGGCCTCATCATGCTAAATTCCTTATTTAAATAAAAAAGTAGTTATTTCAGCAGTTATGATGGCTATCTGCCTTGACCACTGGTTATCACAGAATGATTAATACATTTCAATTCATTCTCTAAAGTATCTCAGTTGAAATAAGTTATTTAATTAATCATGCCAATCACATAGAACATTCTTTTAAGGTTAAAAGTTTCTAGTGCAAAGGTTTAACTGTCATAACCTGAAATCAGTGAGGTTAAAAAAAAATTAAGCTAGCACATCTGCTAGTCTTAGGAGTATGATGACACATCACTTCTCTAAATAGCTGTTCAAGTAGAAAACCTCTTGAATCTGAAAGCAGCTTTGTGGAAAGCTGTATCTCCAACTAGAAGCACTTAGACACAGTCACTTCGGCTGCGTCGGGTATACATTCAATAGTTGTCAAATGCAAGTTTCTTCTTAAAGGCCATCATTTTTCCTTTTCAATGCACCCATACAAATGTTTAATATTAAACATTAATTTCCTGCTCAATGTAGAGTAAAACCAGTGATACCACATACAACTGCTTTGCTTGGGCTTCTAAAATGTAACCTTATTCCATTTAGACCACTACACCAAAGTATAGTAATAACTAAAGCCAGATTATTATTTCCTAGTAAGGCAATTTCTAGTTGTAATTACTAACTTGCTGACAAATGAACATTTCCTTGCCATATAAGCACTACTTTAAGAATTTCCTAGAATGCCCTTAATATGCTATATAAGTCCAATGATTTTAGAATGTCACCTTTCTAGTTTCATATTCTTAACTTTAATATTATAAAAATATAAAGTATTAAAAACAGAAGAAATGCCTTTTAAACCAAAATCAAGCCTTCTAATGTATATTTACTAAATTCTTCAATTTAATTAATGAAATTAAATATACAGCATACCCATTTTCTTGTAGTACTCTTCCCAAGCCTTTGTATAATCAACCTGTCCAGCTGGAGCTGGATTCTGCTGATCTCCTTGTTAAGAAAACAAAACAAAACAAAAAATAAAAACAAAACAAGATTTAAGTTTTCGAAGGCAATTTTTGTTCTGCACCACGAACATGGGAATTAGCACTGTCTACTACGGAGCTGTATACTAGAGTGCACTAGTATGGGGACACACAACAGTAGGTACAGAAGGGGTGCACAGAGAAATTAGTGGCATGGGCTATTAAGTAAACACACATGAAAGAAATACAGGACACGAGGTTTCTGGCTATTATTATATATGAAGAGTTAAAAAGCTAAGAATAGTTTTGAAGCATTATAATAGAATTTGAATGTTTAAAAAAAAGGCAGTCATGTGGTTTTTAGTAGATATGTGTGGTCCTGTATGTTTATAAAAACTTTTCTAGATTGTTTTATTTTCTGTATGACAGTTTTGCCCACATGCTTATTTTATTTGGAGGTGTCTGGTGCTCTCAAAGGTCAGAGGGGATGCCCCTGGAATTAGTTACAGTGTGAATCACCATGTGGGTGCTAGGAATCGAACCTGGCTCTTCTGCAGGAACAAGTACTATTAACAGCCAGCCCCAAAACATACTTTCTAGTTCTATTTTGGAAAGGGTTATGATCAGTGACACTTAAATATAGCAATCAGTATTACTTAGTCTGGTTTCTAAAGTCTATCCTTGAAAAAAAAAAGAATGAATCATTGATTGGAGCTCAGAAGACAAAGTATCTTACTGTTTTAGGTACTAAGGAAGCACCTGATGAATGTCAGAAGACACCAGAGCCACCTTGAAGATAATCCCAACCACCCAAATCTAGGACAATATAATAAAAGCAGTTAAAAAAAAAAAAAAAGAAAAGCTATTCCTTGCAGTAAAATAGCAACTAATATACAATGATAGCAACCAACAACAGTTATAGTAATAGTAGTTTACTAAGGCAGGGCTTATTAATACAGACTAAGGCAGAGGGAGAAGTCTGATGAACACGCTAGTAACATAATTCAGCAAAATGTACCAAAAATACTAGTTAATTCATACAATAAGTGGTGGTATCATAGGACGGACTGACGGGGACGGACGGACACAGACACACCCACACACACACCCAAAAACAAAACAATCAAACAAAAAACATGGCAGGTAGCAGTATGACCAAGTTCTCAGGGTAAACTAAGTCAAGGGACCTAAGATAACAACTGAGTTATACTATTAGAGACATAAAAGACTGAGGAACTGCTCCAGCTTGATGAGACTTAACAGACCTAATAAATATGTTGTCTGTTACTAGGTAGATCTTGATGAAAACTCTGGGGCAACTGGTGACTATAAGCAGGGGCCATGTACAGCAGTGCTGTGTCAATACTGAGTACCTGACTTCAAAGACCACGATGGTTAGTTATGGTTTTTGGAATGAGTACACAGTATGTATGAGGATAATGTGACTTCATGTCTCCAAATGCAGTTTTCTAGTTCTTTTTCATAATTAGTAACAGACCTATCAGGGTAATGGAATAAACGGGACAAAACAGTGACGGTTTTGGTATTTTGGGCACCATTTCTCTAATTTTTGTTTTTTCGAGACAGGGTTTCTCTGTGTAGCTTTGCGCCTTTCCTGGATCTCACTTGGTAGCCCAGGCTGGCCTCGAACTCACAAAGATCCGCCTGCCTCTGCCTCTGCCTCCCAAGTGCTGGGATTAAAGGCGTGCGCCACCACGCCCGGCAATTTCTCTAATTTTTATTAACCACTTCTCAGATTTTTATTAAAATTTGTTACTATTTCAAAGTGACTTAGTATGCTTACCCACAGTCACAAGTGAATCTTCAAAATCTTAGGTCTAGGGATCTAACTTAGTGATATAGTGTTAGCATAGCCTGCACAAGGCCCTGGGTTCAATTCCCAGGACTGAAAGTAAAAGAAAGAAAGTTTTGGTATGACACACTAATATATTTCATACACAAATCTAAACACAAGCTTTAAAATAGAAGAATAAAGTGTTTAATTACCGTAGTTACCTTGTCCGTTAGTTTGGGTTGTAGCTGGTGCACCTGTGGGAGCTGCAGGTGGGGGCTGGGCCTGCTGTTGGTAATAGTGAGCATAATAAGCAGCCCAAGCTGCTGAGTTTGGATCTGTTCCTGCCTTAGCTAGAATTTAAAAAAGAAAAGAAAAGTTTCAAGGTTTATATGTAAACTCTAAAATTAATCTTTTTCTGAGGATCCCTGACAGACTGAAAAATTAACAACAGCAAAATGGAAACTTTCAACTTTTTCTAAAACTATCATTCTCAACACTTGGCTTTTAGTTCACAAACTTGAGCCTCAGATTACAAAACTAGTGAATGGTGGAACCAGGATATGAAGGGATGATCTTCTGGCTTCAAATCCAATGTATGTCTCAGTCCAATCCTGTATCTTTACACCCCACCAGCACCCCCAAAATAAGTTTAGCTGCAAAGAGCAATACTTCCTCAGGCTAATTTGTTCAAGAAACAAAGATTCTATATTACACAAAAGCCACAATTACTGCTGTAACAGGTGTGGCCTCTGCTGTCAATGTCTTCCATGATACGGTATGCACAAAAGCTTACCCTTGTGGGTGTGGGAGCATGTCTGCTCATGTGCATACATGGGCATGGAGGCCAGAGATTGACTTTGGATGTTCTCCTAAGTTGTTCATCTTTTTTTACATAATTGAATTATTTTACTTTTAATTATGCGTTATGTGTGTGTCTACACAATGTATAGGTCAGTGAAGAGTCTAGAAGGTGTTGAATCTCTTGGAAAAGGAGTTCTAAGTAGTTGTGAGCTGCCTGACCTGAGTGCTGGGAACTGAACGTTCATTCTGAAAGAGCTGCAAGTGCTTTTAACTGCTAAGCCACTTGGTCTGGCACCCTCCTAATTTTTTGAGACAGGATTCTTCCTGAACCTAGAGCTCATTGCTGGGATTAAAGACATGGGCCACCTCTGCCTGGCCTGGACTACACTTCTAAGAGAAGGTGAGAGGCACCTTGAGCTACAGGCTAAGACCTTATCTCAAAAAATGCAGAGACAGAAATATTTTTCTTAATAGATTGTATCAGTCTTACACTGTGCCTAACACTGTTGAAATACAGCAAAGATAACACATATAAATGCAGAATCAATAGATAATTCAAGACTAACAGTAAGTAGTAGACGACCAGTACAGACAATGTATTAACAGTAGGTTATCTTCTTCTACCTGGGTCAGGAGGAGCTGGTTGCTGCCAATGCGGATATGCATTTCCCCATCCCTGGGGAGCATATGGGGCTGGAGGACCACTGGGGGAAAAAAAACACAAATACCACTTACCAAAAGCCAGAATCTTAAAAAAAAAAAAAAAAAAGTTTTACTTATTTATGTGTGGGTTTTGCCTGTATATGTATTGCATGTATGTGCAAAAACAATATGCATGCCTGGTGTTGGAGTTGGATACCCTGGAACCAGAGTTATGGATAGTCGTGAACCAAATCCCATCTCTCCAGCCCCCCAAACCTAGGGTCTTTAGGGAAAGCACAGAACTAAGCAAATTTAGTACTTACTGCGGAGCTGGGCCAGGCGGTCCTGGATTGTAAGGTGCAGGATTGTATGGTCCCATTGGAGTTCCAGGCCCTGGAGGCCCAGGAGGCCCATGAGGACCTGGAACCCCATGGGGTCCATGGGGTACAGGTGGCCCTAAAGGATTTACTGGGCCCTGCAAAAAGAAAAAAAACAAACAGTAACAAAAAAGACACTCAAAACATACAAAATACACTCAGTATAATGACTGAGAAACTCAAAGGCCAACCTTCTTTTTCATTTCTACTCTTAAGTAACAAGTTTAAATGTACCTTCTCCTTTATGTTACAAAAAATAAAATCAGATTCTGAAATGTAACATTCATTAAAATGAGCACTATCAAATTCCCTTTAGCTTTTTACTCGTTCTCAAACAATGCTATTTCTCATTTTTGTTTTAATAAGACTGCCTAGTTCTTTTACTTTTCTAGTGTCAGACAACCTTTCTGACAATTTGTTTCTCCAACTGTATGTATGCTGTCTAGGGAACACAACATGTAACTCTCAACCTAAAGTCTCCTGAGCAAACTGTTCTGTCATAGGAATCCCATTTAAACCAGTGATTTATTTACATTACTGTCCCCAGCTGCGCCCACTACAACATTCTAAATGGCATGCAATTTTCCTTTACAGTTGATAAAACACATCAGGGCTATTTAGTGCCTGTTCTGGAACTCACTCTGTAGACCAGGCTGCCTTGAACTCACAGAGGCCTGGCTCTGCCTCCTAAGTGCTGGGATTAAAAGGTGTGTGTCACCGCTGCCTGGTGGGGTTATTTTATATAACATTTTCACAACACTTTTTATCACTTTTTCCTTTATTTGGAGATAGGGTCTTTGTAGATGTAACCAATCGTCTTTTTAAAATAAGAAACACAGAGCCAATGTAAAAGAGAAAGCCGAGAGGTCAGAGCTCAGAGATAAAACCTTACCTCCTGCAGTGCTCCTAGCTTCCGAGAGAGAGAGCTACTTCCTGTTTGTCTATGTTTAAATAGTCTTTCTGTTCTGCCTTCTCATTGGTTGTAAACCCAACCACATGACTGCCTCATCACTGCCTGTAAGTACCGCCCTCCAGGTCTTAAAGGCATATGTCTCCAATACTGGCTGTATCCCTGAACACACAGAAATCTACCTAGCTCTTCTAACCACCACGCTCTTGCTATGGCTCTAATAGCTCTGACCCCAGGGCAACTTTATTTATTAACATAAAATTAAAATAACATTTCAGTACAAATAAAATATCACCATAGGTCTTACTACCTAGCTTTTGCTAACCTTGAACTATGTAGACCAGGCTTATACTCAAGAGATTGGTGTGCCTCTGCCTTCCAAGTGCTAGGATTAAAAACATGTGCTAGTTAGTATACCTGCTTCATTTCTTTTCTGATAGGCCACCCTGCGAAACCTACAAGAACCATTAGATATAAATGTCCTAAATAAAACGTTTGTTCTTTTTAAGTTAACAACTAAAGTTAACACTGTGAACAAAATGCTTACAATTTTTAAAAATTATTTTAAGGGCTGGAGAGATGGCTCAGCAATTAAAGAGCATTGGCTGCTCTTTCAAGAGGTTTTTGAGTTCTATTCCCAGCAACCAACTGGTGGCTCACAACAATCTACAATGAGATCTGGTCCCCCTTTTTGGCATGTAGGCATATCTGCAGGCAGAACACTGTAATACATAATAAATCTTACAGGCTTTCTGGGAACTCAGTTTGGGTCTTCTAGAAGAGAAGTGCTTTTATTTGCTGTGACAGACATCTCTACAGCCGCACAAAATGCTTCTCCAATAAGTATTTCTTTTGTGTATGAACATGCACGTGCCACACTGTGAATGTGTAGGCAACTTTTGGTATCTGGTCCTCTCCTGCCACCATGAGGATTCCAGGAACCACATAAGTTCTGGTGGCAAATCAGTTCTTTATACATTAAGTCAACTCAGCAACCTGACAAAATATCTAAACTATATTTGGTGATCAATTTTCTCACTACTGATGTTTCCCATCATTTATTTCAACCATTTATGCTTGCTTAGTTAAGCACCAAACCCAACTATTAGATTAACATATACTGTTTCTCAATGATCCAACAGAAACCCTGATCTAGGTATATTAGGCTAAGAAAATGACCAGGTGGGCATAGCGGTGTGTGCCTAATTCCACCACTGAGGAATAACAGGCAGACCTCTGAATTCAAGGTCAGCCTAGTCTACACTGTCGCAAAAAACAAAATAAGAAAATGAAAAACCAAAATGTGCTTGACACACTTTGGTGTCTACTTTTGACATTACTAAACTTACAAACATCTTCAGTTTATGAATAATCACAATGATAAAACTCAAGACATTTTTCAAACTTCCTTTGTGCCCACTCATAGCATCCAAGGAGAATCTTCCTAAGAAGATCTGATCATTATCAGTAATTTAAAGATACTTTTATTCTTTGATAACTTCGTAACTTGGTTATTCAATCTGTATGCCTAACCTCCCTCTAAGTGCACCCCCCCCCTTTGTGTCCTATTTAAATAACTCATCAAACCCAATTGTGCTGCCACTATATGCATCCACAGGATTATTAACTTAAAAAGCCCTCACATTTAAAAAATTTGCATTGTTCATTATAAAGCCATAGTGGTCAAGTCTCTATTTGTTGTACCATCAGAAAACTTTCCAAATTTGATCATGTACCAAAATCACTTGGAATATCTTTGCTTCTATGTTTTGTTGGAGATGGGGTTTCTCTGTGTAGCCCTGGCTGGCCTTGAACTCAGAGATCTACCTGTCTCTTCAAGTTCTGGGATTAAAGGCGTGTGCCACCACAGGCAGGCAGAACGGGCTCTATCCTACCCTCACTTCATTTCTGTCTAAGGCACCTGTCTACGGAGTGTGTTGTCTCCATGTGACTTGTTAGTGTGGGTGTTAGGGCACATGTGCTTGCAGAAGTCAGGATTATCACTGACCCCAGTGTTGTTCACTGACTGGCCTCGATGAACACAAAGCTCATTAATTTTGCTGGGCTAGGTGGCCTAGGAGCTCCAGAAGAACCATCCAACTAACCTATATTTCTCATCTGTGATGATAGGCACTCAGCCCCAAAGCCAGAATTATAAATTACTTCAGCAGAATGGGAGATAAACATCTTAACTCACTATACTGACTAAGCAGGGATGGGTAGTTTGGACCTTGGAAATACTGAATTCCTGTAACTAGCTAGGTTCTCCAACTACTGTCAACTCGAACACTAGCTCTGATCCAGGGACACTCACTAGGCACACTCAAATGGGAGGTAGCTCTTCACAGACTTGTAATTGCATGCTTAATCAAGTTACTCACATTTTTGGACATCTTTCCTATGTTGTTACATGCACATGTGCTACACCTCAATAACCAGATTAGAAATTATACATTTTCCCACAGTACAGGTGAATTAAGCACCAGGAACTACGTTAAATGAGAACTTTCAAGTATACTCACCCCAATCTTCTCTTCTATGAGTTGCCGAGCATAGTCTATTTGCTGTGGAGTGCCACGAATTGTAAATAACTTCATATTAGGATCTGCATTAGGTGGAGGATTTCTCTGAAGCTCTATTCTTGCACCAGACTGCTGGCTTATGCTTTTTATGGTTTCACCTCCTAAAATCAAAAGATACTAAGTTTTCCACAGTTTAAAGAATGTAAGAAATACATTTTCAAAAAGCACCTATTTAATTTGGCCATTAAAGTTTGGTAGCATTCCATTGGACAATACATGTTAGGATTTTCTGCTTATTCTGTTCTTCCATCTACAACTCATACCAAACACATTCAATTCAAGTCTATTTAAATATATACACATACCCTAATGTGGGTTAGAACAGAAAACTTTTCAATAAGCAGCTTGTGTAAGTAACAAAAAAATTAACCTAAATACAAAAGGGAAAAAAAGCCATTTTAATTAGGATCAAGTTATTATATTTCTTTGATAATTAACTGTGCTGGTTCCCTTTCCCTAGAAGCCAATGAAACACAAATTCCATTTTTAACATAAAGATTGTTCTTGTTTTAATTGCCAAGTAAGATCCCTTTCCTACTAAAACACTTCAAAAAATAAAAATAAAGCAACACTATTGTTTATAACAAAGTGTCAAGAAAAATCAGTTATATTAAACAATGAATTTAAAATACATTACCTTTTCCAATTATCAATCCAGTTTTCCCAGTTGGCACAATGAAATTAAATTCCTGTAGTCCACCAGGTGGTCCCATATTCCAGTTGCCTTGACCTCTACCTCGTCCTCGACCACCAGGTCCAGGTCCACCAGGATTACCAGCCTAAGGAAGGAAAAACAAAAAACAAGCAAATAAAATGAACAAAGAAACTCTTTGATAAAATTATTAGGTTTGTTTCCCAACTTTCATACTTCTCAGCAACGAAGTTAAGAGATAAATTAGCTGTCAAAAATATCCAATTAAGCAGTAATTTTCATTTACTTATTTGCTTGTTTTTATTTGTTTATTTATTTTACCCGAGACAGGGCTTTTCTGTGTAGCACGGGCTATCTCTTCACAGAATTGTGACATGTATTTAAGAAGGCCCTCCATGTGTCATTACACCCCGTGGGGCTACATCCCAACTGTGATCTTTGTGAACACCCCTCATCTGCCGCTGCCCCTGCTGTTCCTCCCCCTCATGAACACTTGTCCCTGTGCTGTCTTGCCTGTGGCTGTGATGACACAGCGTTGACATCATTTTCCCCGCAGGGTTTGTGCAGCAATTCTTCTACCCTAAGATGTTTACCATAAAGCAATGTAAATGTTCTGTCATTTTATTAAATCAACAGATTCTGACATAACATGGAGGGGCACTTTTTCACGCGAGCCGAAAATGTTAATTTCCTCTCAAACCTGAACGCTCCGTAGAAGGTCTGTGATGATCTCTGCAGCATGCTGACATCTGTCTGGAGGTCCTGTTATCTGTGCTATCCTATCAGGTGTTGTTCCATCGTCTACCCCGCCCCAAAAAAAAAATGAATTATGACAAACCAATTATGAGTCAAGATTAACAGCTATTAATTCTGAGAACATTAAATATACCTTACTTACTTACCTGGCTTAAACTGAATTCGAACACCAGCATCATTTTGTATTTTTTTGATCATTTCTCCATTTCTTCCTATTACAATGCCAACAGCAAATCTTGGAATTGGGACCTTAAGCAAGTAAAAGATGAAGTATATTAAAAAAAATTTCTCAAAAATTCATCTTCATCAAATCATAAAAGTAAATACAGCAAATGATCATGTCAAATAGTAACAAGATAAAAAAAATACCCCAAGGAAGAAATTGAGAAAAGGGACAGATGTTATGAGAAGTCCACCCAACCCAGAACAGAACACTATTGCACTCACGGATTAGGACACAACCATTCCTGATTCAGTATGTTACTTACATCTATCCCTTCATTTCCTCCTATTCTTGAGCCATACTCATTCCGCACTTCTCTGAAACCACCTTGATCACGAATTAGCTCTAATACCATTTCCTTGGCTTGCTAAAATACAAAGTTGTCCAATTTAGAAAAATTCTCAAAACATTTTAATGCTTATTTTGTCTACCCCCTCAGCAGTTTTATATATAAACGACAAAGTGAGGCTTACCTGAACTTTGTATGGGTCACCCGTAATCCTAAGAGGTTTATCAGCACCAGTATTTTGAGGCCCATCTTGAATCATAACCATTTTAACACCTGCCCGTTCCTATTAAAACCATGAAAATAATACAAGTTAACAAAAAAAATAGTAAGTGGCTTTAAAAGACTTATTAATAACTTTTATAATATAATAAATAGTACCTGAAGTTGTTTAATAGTCTCTCCCCCTTTTCCAATAACAAGTCCTGCCTTGCTGGCTGGAATCATGATTTCCTGAACTGCATTTCCAGGTCCATCACCATGATGAAAGCCAGGGGCTGGTCTTCCCTTTTCAACAATCTGGTCCAGTAATCTTTTTGCTGATCTGTTAACATATTAATATTCAAATGAAAATGTTTAGCATAACCAATCATACCTAAAACTGCAATGTAATAGTCAAGCAGTTTGTTCCTAATCATGTATGTTATACAGCAGTTCAATTTGGATGTACTTCCATGTTGAAAGGCGGGGGGGGGGAAAAAAAGCAAAAACAAAAGCAATGTGAAAGGGACAGTAATGAAGTGACCCTAAGAAAAATAAAGACAGCCGGGCGGTGGTGGCGCACACCTTTAATCCCAGCACTCGGGAGGCAAAGGCAGGTGGATGGATCTCTGTGAGTTCGAGGCCAGCCTGGACTACCAAGTGAGTCCCAGGAAAGGCACAAAGCTACACAGAGAAACCCTGTCTCGAAAAACCAAAAAGAAAAAAAGAAAAAGAAAGACAGTAATTCAGTCATAGAGATGATGCCTTGAAATAGGAAGAAATGGCAAATGAATACAAAGGAAACTGTTACATTTCAGTGTGGGATGAGGTCATCATTTCTCATAGTTTCTAAGTTTTCAACAAATAAGCTTAAGTGGGTATAGTGGCTTGAATCCATGAGCCCAATAAAACACTTTCTTTCTAAGCCGTTTTCCTTGGTCATGGTGTTTTGCCACAGCAACAGAAGTAATGAAGACACTGGTGCTGGGAGTGGTGGCACACACGTGGATCTCTGAAGTCAGCCTGGCCTACAGAGAGTTCCAGGATAGCCAGGCTACACAGTGAAGCCTTTTCTTAAAAAACCAAACAAAACCCCCAGAACAAAAAAGACGGTGAGTGTTCAAGAAGATTTGAGTAGCATTTTAGGTGACATTATTCAACGTATTTGTATGCAAGACAATTCAGTTTTAGCACTTTTCTTGTGTCTGTCTGTGCACACAACTCATGTAATGTGTGTAGGCCAAATGACAACCAGCAGTGCCATTCGTTCATAACATGCACCTTTTGAGACACATCTTCTCAATGGCTTTGAACCCATCAACGAGTGTAGGCTGGCTACCAAGTCCCAAACCTGCTGTTCCCAACACCCGAGCCATGAGAGCACAAGCTCCTATTACCAGGCCAAGCGTTCTGGTTTAGATCTTAGGCTCAAGCTCAGTTCTTCCTACTTGAACAGCAAAAGCACCTGGATGTCCGAGTTACCACCTTAGTCCCTGTTCTGAACAATGTTGTGTCTTAGAGGTTAGATGATGAAACCTATTCAAGAAAGGCATGATACAGAAACTTCAAAGTGAAACTTTCAAGGCCACCAGCAGAAGCTGGTGCAGAAGTAATGAAACAAAGTTTAGTCTTCACATTGTTACTTTAAGTAGACTTCACATTTTTAAACTTACTGGACAGATTCAGGTGTTCCAGTCAGCATACATGACCTTTCTGGAAGGCCACCACTATCTACAATTAAAAAGGAAAGTTTAGGTCAAGAATAGATTAAAAGTAGCATCATCATCTTCAGAAACTTAAATACTCAAGTTTTCTTGCCACTCAAAAAACTTCAAGGGCTGGATAAAGGGGTCTGGGGACAAAAACAAAACAAAACAAAACAAAACACACAAAACACACAAAACACACACACACACACACACACACACACACACACACACACACACACACACACACACACAGGCAGACTGTTACCAGGAGCTATCTGTATTTTGCATCCAGATTCCTGCTGTATGCGTGAGATCTGTTCACCTCCTCTGCCAATTACTAGGTAAGGGAGAGAAAGAGAAAAGTTACTATTTACTCTAAATTTCGGAAGTATGGTTTATGTTTTTTGAAAATTTAAAAATGATGTTACTTACTAAATCCAACCATTCCATCTGGAACTTTGTATTCTTCTGTCATTACAGACCTGCTAAGAAACAACAGAAACTAATCTTTTCTTCAAGGAAAGATAAGGTATGCAGGGCAGCCTGTGTAAGTGAGCAAGACAGTGAACTGGTTATCTGTGAAAGAGTTCAGAGTGAATGCCACTTTATCATTCACTGTACCTTGTTTTTTTTTCTAAAATGTGTCAATTTCAACCTATTTCCTGAAGTATCAATTTCTTACTTGAAAAGATGATTCTATATCATCTTCCCAATAGAACAGAAATAAACTATACACACAAAATTGTATGCAGACATTTTCAATATAAACTTGGTTGGCTATATACACAATTCAACTAAGACTAAAAAAAAGTTTCGACTATACCTTTGCTGCTGATGCATCGGAGGTAACTGTGCTCCAAAAGCTAAAAAACAAATTCAAACAAAAATTCAAAGTTCAAGTTTACTTAATACAAGCACATCAAATATTGTAAACTCTTTCCCTGATGCATACATTGCAGAGAATAAAAAATTTCAGACTATTCAAATCATCACTGATGGTGGCAAGAGAGCCAAGAAAGGGGCAACTACACTACCAATGGTGTACCAACCACTTTTCTTTCCAGTGGCACATGCATAATAAGAACTGGAGTAGTTAAATTATGTATATAATTCGTCAATCAGTGTTTATACATTCATGGCCACAATGAAAAGAGAATCACTATTTTAAAAAGAAAAAGGCGAATTCTGACTAGACATTATTAATACCTACCCTGTTAGGTGTGGCAAGGCACTAGGGGAAACAGAAGCAGGTGAATGTCTGTGAGGTCAAGGCCAGTCAGGGTTACATAGTGAGCCTGGCTCAAAAACAATAATTCCCTAAAACAAAACCCCACAATCCACTCAAAAGTAGGAACAACTGGCTGGAAAGTGGCTAAGTGGTAAGAGCACATAAGGCTCTTGGGATTCCCAGCACTCATGTGGTGGCTTGCAACTGCATGGAGCTCCACTTTCAGGAATTCCCATACTATCTTCTGGCCCCTGGGTACCTACACAAGTGGTGCACATAAACTCATAGATGTGCACATACATACATAATTTTATATATAAATATAAATAAACACATAATTTTAAAAGTAGCAACAAAACCTCAGCTTAAAATACTTACAGTCATTTTGGGGAGCAACTTTCTTAGCATCTGGTTGATCTGCAAAATTAAATGTCTTTTACTTTTTGTCAATTAAAAACAAAGCTCCCCCCAAGCAAGAAAGCCAATGTTTATTAAAATACCTGATATAATGGTTTACCACTTGAACCAAAATTGCCACAATTCAACCTGACCCAAAATTCTAAAAACAAAACAAACAAACAAAAAAAAAAACCAACAACCCACAAAACCTAAATTCTTTCATTCTCTTCTTGTTTAAGCAATGCACAGACACTTTAAATATTTTAGAATGATACAAGACAAAGTATTTAGCTACATGCTGGTGAATACCATATGCTAAAAGCTAATGATGCTTCTTCTACTGTAAGAAAAGACAATCAGGGTAACTTGATAAAAATCTGACATATCAAAAGATGAGTACATCTGATCACAAAGCTTTACCAAAAAGGAAAGCTCGTATTACAAGACAGTTTCAATCTAAACTGCTCTATTATTCCCAAATGAAACATTTCACTACGTGACTTTAGCAAAAAGAACAAAACAAAACAAAACCTCAAAGCAACTACATGATTGCCTTTCTCAAATACACAAAACTCACACAACATTAGAATAGACAGCCTGTAGCTCAAAGCACTATTATTATTCTCCCCACTTCAAGGCTTTTGTGTAGCAAAAATTCAGACACATAAACCAAGAGATAGTTGTGTCCACTTAAGAATCCACTGGTTCGTTCATTTCACGTTTACATACTAAACACAGGTAATAAATAAAAATTCCTGCCTTTAAAAGGAGAGGGCATTCCCTCCCAGTGTGTTGTACTGCTCGGATTTGTCCAAGAGCCATCTACACATAAAATAAAAAGAATACATTACACACAACATCTGAAGCATCATTAGCTCATTTTTCTTGCATATTAAAAACCTCACTTGCAAATATAAACACATGTACACACAACATCTGAAGCATCATTAGCTCATTTTTTTCTTGCATATTAATAACCTCACTTGCAAATATAAACACACTTAAAAGGAAACTACGTATTTCCACTCAGGGCTACAAATACATTTCTATATGCTCAATCAGAATCCTTTATAAAAAGGACAAAAAGTGTCAAAATTTACACACACACCAGATCTAAAACAAAAAGTACACACTTCTAAGTGTCAGTTTTTTAAAAAGCACTATAAGTCCACCATTTTAGTCCATGTTTAAAGTTAAATCTGAAACACAAAACAAAGCACTAAAATAATATAAAAAAAGGAAACCTGCAGCAAACCTTAGCCTTTAAAGTGAATTTTCAAGTAAATGAATGAAACAGCATATCAAAGACTCATGCATAATTGAGAAAACTCAGGAAAGTGTTTCCTAAACAATTTATATTTTACTTTTAGCATTAACAAGATACCTGTGGGAACTCAGGCAAACCATAATCCTAAAACAGGGGGGGAAAATGAACTCTTTTTCTATTACAATAATACTTTCTGCTAGACTCAAATTATACCTACCTTTTTTCTAGGTCTGTCCTTGACCCCCTTTCCTTCTGAGACCAATATATAGTAATATTCTGATAAATTATTTCAATAAATAAGATTGAAAAATCCCATCAACTGAATACTGTGGGAGATAACTGTAATTATTTTTGGCTATAACTTACCTCCATCTTCTAAGGGTCTCTTTTGTCCCCCATAACCATAGTCATTGGAATTCAATGATGTACCAGCATCACCCCCAATTTTTGCTGCAATCTTAAAAAAACAAAAATCATCACAAAGGTTACTATACAAACACATTTATGTACTACTCAACACTAAATTTCCTACAACACACTGTTCTTTTAAAAATACATTATGAATATTCACGTGTTAAGATTAATTCAAACTACCATTAGTACCTTAAGGAGCTAACAATTAATAATGGTCTGGTATAAGTTCATGATACATCTCTATATAAAATTAAAAAAAAAAAATCAACAAAGTAATCACCAGGGCATCTCTAGGAGAGAAACAAGCTTTGACGAAAATCTCGATCCTAATTCTATCTTCTCCATGTCACATTACCTCCTTCAAGGATACATATGGTCAGTGTGACAATTCTGAGATGCTAACACTATACTGCTAAATAAGATGGTTAGCAGTCAAATTATACGTGGTTACATGAAACATGGCTACTCCAAATTTACAACTTCTGTAAAATAGGCACTGGACACAAGAAATGTGGAACAAACAGAAGAATGGAAAGCATCTCAAAGAAACTATATTCAACACATACCAAAATATAACTGAGTATTTGGAGTTCAAGTATATAGCTTATATTACTACTGAGCAATGTTCTTTAAAATATATGCAAGAAACTGGGCAGTGGTGCAAACCTTTAATCCCAACATTCCAGAGGCAGAGGCAGGCTGATCTCTGTGAGTCTGAGGCCAGCCTGGACTACAAGGCAGGATCTAAGTCAGCCAGGGCTGCCAGAGAAACCTGGTCTTGAAAAACCACAAAAAGGCTGGGCGGTTGCAGCGCGCACACCTTTAATCCCAGCACTAGGGAGGCAGAGGCAGGCGGATCTCTGTGAATTTAAGGCCAGTCTGGGATATAGAGTGAGTTCCAGGAAAGGCTTCAAAACTACACAGAGAAACCCTGTCTCAAAACAAAAAACAAAACAAAACCACAAAAAGGGAAAAAAATAAAAATAAAAACCAAACTTCTGAAAACTGGTATATTTCTAAGACACTGATATGGAGCTAACCCAATTATCAGTTTATTATATCCAGGAAACTAGTGAAGGGTAATGGTATATTCAAGGTCTCAGGCCTTAGATCAAAAATGGGTCTCTGTTTAGTCAGTATGGATCATATCCTACATGTCAACTATACCTCCCAGGTTATTAGATTTTCCTCTTGTCTACAATCTAATGCTCTTAAGTCTACAGTGGTACAGTGTTGATCAATGATTACCCATCATTTCCCCATTAAAAGCCTAATTCATGTGTGGGTCTCTAATCAATCCCGCCCCCTCTGTTTTTTCCAGACAGGGTTTCTCTGTGTAGCTTTGGAACCTGTCTTGGGACTCCATGTATAGACCAGGCTGGCCTTGAACTCAGAGATCCACCTGGCTCTGCCTCCCAAGTGCTAGGATTAAAGGTGTGCACCACCACCGCCCAGCCTAATCTCTTTTCTAAGCATACCTGTAAACCAATCTTTCCTACCCTTTGACCTCAAAATATAGCATTTATAAACCGTACCTTAGGGATGTAAGTGCACTGTCTGGGACTGACAGATACTGATGTTAAAAAGTATCAGGTACCAGAGAAGATACTGACTTAGAGGAAAATGGTGTAGAATGTGACTACTCTCTACAGTTAGCTTTCATAAACATCCATAAGAAAGTACACTTATGCATATTCCATCCATGTACTAACTATTTCTACAACTATCCAAAAGAAAATCAAAGTTGGTACTTGGTTCATTGAAAAGAGCAAGTAAAACTTGAAAAACAACAGAACACCACCAAGCAGATAACTCTCCAAAATTAATTTCAGAAATTCATTTTCTTGGTAACCACGAAGATGGAAAAAAAAAATCCCTGAATATCAACTCCCAATATAATATGGTCTCACTCTGTAGCCCAGGCTAGCCTTTCTTGTCCCAACTTCTCCCATGTTGGAATTACGACCTCTACCAACAAAAATTATTTTTTTTTTCCGAGACAGGGTTTCTCTGTGTAGCTTTGTGTCTTTCCTGGAACTCGCTTTGGAGACCAGGCTGGCCTCGAACTCACAGAGATCCGCCTGCCTCTGCCTCCCGAGTGCTGGGATTAAAGGCGTGGGCCACCACCGGCACCAACGATAAATTATTAAGCATATATTAAGTGTGGGTAATGTCTTTGATTTCAATCCACAGGTATAATTCAGGCTTCCCACTTAGCTTTTTGCACTTTCTTACTGCAAACAAAACCAGCACTTATCACCTTCCTCCCTGACCCCATCCATCCTTATACTTTTTGGAGTGGAATGATTCTCAGAAGATAATGACCTGAAAATATCCATACTTTCCTTAGTAGTCTAAAGCTGGAGGCACAAATCTACTTCTAGTGCTCTAGAGTTGTGTCTCTGTTAAATTTCCTCAAGCATTCTGAGCTTTGATCATCACAACTTCACAAATGGGAAACTTCTACACACCTCCCTTAGAGGATGACTACGAAGACTATGCGAAACCAACTCATGACATGTTTAGCACAGATCCTAACATATACCATACTCTCACTAATTCATCACAGCATGTAATTCAATTCTAAAGCAGGGTCCACAGCAACACTCCAAAATTGTGTTTTGGGTGACCTATGCCTTTAGTCCCAGCACTCAGGAGGCAGAGGCAGGTGAACTTCTGAGTTCGAGGCCAGCCTGCTCTACAAGGCTACACAGAGAAACTCTGTCTTGGGGTGGCTTTGGAAGTGTTTTGGAAAATTAACAATGTTTTTATCCATCCTCAAAGACAAAGCTGTACTATACTTAATGAAAAATGTGCTTCCGCCAGTCATACTAGTGCAGGCCTCCAATTCCATATTCAGGAAGCTTAGGCCCAAAGACTCAGAAAAGTCTTGGAGGATAACAGGATAGCAAGGATACCTCTGTATCTCTAGGAGTCACCATAGCCACAGACAATACACCCTAAAAGAAAATTATTTTCAAAACAAAATCTTAGCTGGACATGAGTGGCACACACCTTTAATTGTAAAGGCAGAGGCAGGCCTGGTCTACACAGTGAGTTCCAGAACAGCCAGAGCTACGCAGTGAGACCTTAATCTTCTTACTATCTATCATAATACACTAAGGATATTTACTGATTCAGCTGAATACACCATGTACCTTATACAAGGCAAGGTCCCGAAGGAGTTACTGCATACTCTGAACACTGCAAATCCAGGTGAGATAGACACTATAATAAACACTTATTATCAAGGCTTAGGCAGGATGCCTTAAATCCCAGGCCAGTCTGTGCTTTAAAAACCCTGTATCAAAACATTTTTCTCAGAGGCCAGGTAAAGAGACTCTAAGCCTGCCCACTCTCATTTGACTCAAGGGACCTACATGTTAGGAGAATCAACTCCCCCAAGTTATCCTGACTTCTATACACACACCATGGCACTCATTGAGCCCTTTCCATGAGTAAATAAACTATCTATGTACTACATAGTTAATTATGCTAGGTGAGTGAGAGAGACTAGTCAATCTACATCACCGTAGAGCTGATCAACTTTGACTCAGTAATCTTTCAGTCTTGAGGGGAGAAAATTAGAAAATAAACTCCTAATACAGTCAAAACCGACTTTAATAACCATTTGTTTAACACTATTATAAAATGTCTAACAACTTCAATAGAGTGCCATAAGAAGACTTTAGCTTACATACAAATTCCGTAACATACTTTTGAGACAAGTAGTCTTTAAACTCAAGAGATCTGCCTGCCTCTGCGGGACTAAAGCCGACCTCCACCACCATGCCCGGCAAGGCAACACGGAACATTTAAAGCGACAAAGAAATGGCAGGGCTACCCGGAAGACACAAAAACTCAGACTTGAGAAGGGATTTTTCCCGAAGAAGAGAAGCACTTTTGTTTTCCATCCCCTTCCATCTGGGTAAGCGGTGCCTTCGGGGCAACAGCACTGTCCCTGCGTAACACAAAGAGGTCGTGGGCTGCGACTCGGGAGAGGCAGATTCAAACGGAAGGCTCAGGTCGCAGGGGCCTGAGGCCATTTTGAGGAGGAAGAAAGGATTGGTGGAAGGAGACACCAATCCCGCCCCGAGGAAGGACGCCGGGCAGGTCTCCCCGGTCAACGGGACGGTGAACGCTACCCGGCGGCGCGGGAGAGCTCGGCCGCGGCGAGCACCGCCGGGATAGGCGACCCCGCGCTCGCCCTGGCCGCCAGACCCCGCCACGCTGCCGCCTA